TGGGCATATCTTCTTTTCTATTTCACCTGCAGTAACGAGATTTAGTGTAACAAGGATATCTTTGTAATGTGGAGTGAAGAGTGTAAGAAAAATGTCACTTTGACTTTACTGTGTCCTATGCTTTGACCTTAACTTTTGAAAAAAGTTAATCCGGGGCATATCTTCTCTACTATTGCACCTGGAGTAACCAGATTCTATGTCCAATACCATTTTGGGATGGAGGAGTGCAGAGTGCAAGATTTAGGTCACTGTGACTTATGACTTGACCTTTGACCTTTACTTTTGAAAATATTTGTATGGGGCATATCTTCTATGCTATTTCACCTGGAGTAACTAGATTTGACCAAACAAGGACATGTAAGGATGGTGTAGTGAAGTAGGTCAATATCACCTCACTGTAACCTATATACATATGCTTCCTGACATAAGTGTACTGTTTGTGCATAGAAATTCTTACCGGTGGCCATGGGGGTCTATGGATTGCCTTGCAACAATTTGCCTTGTTAATACATATTTTCTATGCACAGTAGATCATATTTCTTCCATTTTGTCTTGAGAAAATTTTGCCTTAAATGGATCAGGCGATATATTGACAAGGGTGTTAACATAATAGTAAATTAGTAACAACAAAAAGGCCTACATGGAATATCTGACAGATTTTCTTAATTAAAATACATTTTTTAAACTACCATCCATTTCATTTTCATGGAAGAATATTCAGCGCACTATGTCCTAAGGAGGAATTCTGTTTGTTTTGTTACCTTAAAGTTCTTGGCTGGGGGCGCCGCAGGCGCCCGAAATCTACACTATCATCACAAAGGTTACTTAACTATGTGCGCTCGCTTATAGGCAGTGCCTATTTCATATTACTAATGTATTTTATTCTTTCGATCTCTTACAAACTATTTAAAATATCTAAAGTGTAAATCACGTGACCAAATCACAGTTGTGGTATCGCACTACGCACGTCACATGGTATGCGAACGATTGACCAAGCTACAACTGATATATTTCCACCTGTCAATCAAAATGGCAAACAATGACCAGGTGTATATACATACATGTTGTTCAGGTAGCCATGCCAACAAATGGAATTAATAAGAAAGCATGTCGCAAATATAACGTTAGCGTTGACAGACACCTCGAACACGGAGATATCTGCGCGCTGACACGGTCATATGGCATGGGCAGAACAGGTAATTGGAATATAAAGATGTTGTTTTCACAACAATAAGTTTCAGAAAAGAGTAAATCTTATAAACGGATAAATCTTTTACTTTTTTGTTTGTTATGAAATACACTTTTCCAAGTAGTTTTCTGATCGTATGCAAATCCGACTTGTTTAAGCTTAAAGGCAGTCATCCGACGAGGACCGCCAACAGCCGAATTCGTGAGACATGAAGAACACCAAACAATTGTGATTTCAGCAATTCTCCTTCGAAAAGAAAAGATGGGAATGTATTTGGCTGTTTTGAACCCGTTAATATTCATTTTTCAAACTCATACTTTTATCATTATCGGTTCTATTCGTAAGGATGTCCCTTGTAAGTTCCTGCCGGTTAATAGTATCACGCGACATTGACTCTTTGCGGTGCACAAACTTGCTAACTTCGCCACTTTACCCATGTCGTTTTGACACATTTCTACTGTCAAGATTGAAGAGTACAGCATGATTTTACCTAAGAACGATATTTTAATCACATAGCGATAAATGCGATGCAATTCTTTGTTATTTTCCCGATACGTGTTATTTATCAATTCACAACGTAACGTCCTGAAAATTTATCCGATTCCATCGTATAATATGACTTAAACTTGCAACTTTTCATAATTGTTAAATTGGCAATGCAATCAGTGATTATTCAACGAAATTTAGCAGTTTATTGCTGCGAGCATATTTCAAAACATTTCCGAAAATCCTCGAAAAATTTCCGAGAAATTGTCGCGACCAAGGACTGGTATCGTGTACACCCCTTTCTTGACACTTCATTTCCCCTTAAATAATTGCGCACTATACGCATATAATAATTAACGGTAGTCGTTGGTCAGACATAAAATATCTAAATCAGTCAATAGCAATTTACAATACGACAGTTTATCCCTTCGGGAACCTCAAAGGTGCCTGATTTATACTCGGAACATCTTAAGGCTATATGTAATTCCCGTAGGAAATTTGGAACGCCTTTAGGTGTTATGCTATTCCTGTTTTTAAAAAGGAAAGTTATCAAAGAGCTTGTTATTAGCGCCTTGTATATTCCGACAGAAGCAATACACTAAGCAGCCCAAGACAACAGAGGTCAAAATCTGGGACTGAAACCGAAATGAATAGTCCCCACTGGTGATGAGAATGATACGAAAGTTCTGAAGTTATTTGAGATTGATCGTCTGAAACCCGAACAGAAAAAGATATTCGAAGCTTTATTAGAGAAGAAAGACTGTATGGCGGTGTTGCCTACGCAATTATTGCCAAATGAGTACGTTTTCCTTGGCGTCGTAGAAACGTCAGTTCCCGCCGCCATATTTGTTTTGGAAAACTTATCTGTTCGATACCCCTCGCTATTTATCCATCAACCATGATATTCCGATTCGCTGGCAAACTTTTGCAAGCGCGCATCTGATTGGTTCATCTAAAGGGCACTTGAATGTGACCCTGACCGCGGCACATTCAGATGTTCAGGCGGAGCCATGGAACAGATGATTTTAATCAGATTGCAGCCAACTCAACTGCTAATATCCTTAAAGTTGTAAATATTAGCTCAAAAACAAAAATATTAGGGGTGGCCGAACTTGCCCCGGTCTACCGTATGTAGATTTTTGTGTCATTGATGATTGATAAAAATGTTCTCACAATATAATTTTTGCATCAATAACGCCATTTTCTTCAAGTCAAAGCTAAAGGAGATATTTGTTCTTGTGCGTAACGTATATGATGGGTCGGGTGGCGCAGTAGATAGTGCGCTCGTCTTTACCAAGATGGCCGGATTCAATTCCGGTCACCTGCCCGACCACGCAAATTTTCTCCGGATACTCCATTTTCCTCCCATATTAACAATTGAATAATCATCTGCGTGCTTCCGTCAGGACACAAAAAAGAATGAATGAGATAAGCTGGGGGAAAACTGTTCGGTTTTTGACGATTAGTCTAAGCAAATGTATAGAGATGTTAGTTGCAAAAATGAAATTAAAAAAAGAAAACATTGTTATACTTTGATGTAACTGAGATTGTCGATATATTGATATGTAGTCTCAATTACTGTTCCATCCTGAAACACCGGATTGAATTTGAAATTTGTAACTGTCACCGATGTTTGACTGTTTTAAACAGATTCTGTCTGTAACTACAAAATTTAGTTATAAACGGCACGCGTTGTGAAAAAAGTTATACGTTGCTAAAAAGGGCGTTGCACTTGGGTTGGTTGTCTGGAAAATTATTGTTGATTTCGACATCAATGCATTTTCCATTGTTTCTTTTATGAGTGGTGATGCATAAATAAATAATGTAAAGACTATAACCAGAATTTCAAAAATGTTAATTATTTCGTACACATTCTCAACAAATGGAAATCAAAAGCTGATGAAATTTTAGATGATAAAACATAAATGTACACGTTGACCTATTGGTTTAATGCCGGCTCTTTTTGAAAATATCTCCCGATGGCATTATTAACAGACCCGGGTTTGATAACAAAAATGATCTTCAGAAAATATCCGCATTTTTACTTTTTGTGTCTGTGGCAAAAACTGAAATAAAAAAGTCTTGAAGCACCGACAAAGAGATATTTGCATCGGACATCAATTCCAGGATTTTCCGGTTATTTTTCATCCTTCCGGAAATAACCGATGAAGGCCGATGGATTGTGAAGTTCTTGTGACGTCATAGTATGATAATCTCTGAGCGATGTTTCATGTCTGTTAGTATCATATTTTATGTGATAGACTTTTTTTCACTCAGAATGTATATTAGTTTTTATCTAAATAAACAAGTAATAAAACACGAAGATTGTTTACACTTTATGAAGATATTCATGTATGGGTTGAAACACAATTGTCTTTGCTTTAAGGATACACTTCCTGTTTCCCCACTGGACGTCTATATTACTTCCGGACGAAAAAAATTAAAGGCAAGTTGTAGTAAGGGGAAGCAACTTTGTTTACGCACGCATGTGTAACCATTAAAGAGCTTCGATCGGGCGCCGAAGGCACCCGAGAGCTACGCTCTTAAAAAATCCTGATTTTAAGTAAGCTGTCATATTTCAAATGGATAGAAAAATAGCTAGATGTATTAGCTAACTCATCCTTATTATCATTTAGAAGTTGGTATTTTAGGTTATCCTTTTAATTGATGTAAATCGATACCTGTACAGCACACATATAGGGCATGTTCTCGTACACGTATACAGATATATATAAACATAGCTGCCTTGTACATCAGGGTACCCCATTCGTCGAGGTGTGAACATATCAGATTCATGGAGAAGGTGTAGATCCATACTAGCCTAATTAACATACATGTAATGCTAACGTAATGATACCGTTGCGTACATATCGACAGACACCCATTAATTGTATTACCCACACATGCATGAACCTTGAATATTAATTGGTGAAAGTAAGTTATATCATAGAATATCTTGCCTAACCTCAGCACAATTTATCACCATTTTCACGTAATTACATTACGACCAAAATTAAAGTCAAAGGGTACTTGATAGTCCACAAATTTACACCTGTATAGTCGCATATTGTTCTGTGTAACAACCATGGTAGTAGTGTCACGGTATATTCTAGTCAGAAATCACATTAGTCTTCCGGATTGTGTTATCATTCCGTTATTTTGATTAACCTATAATATCAACTCGCAAGTTTGTTCAAACTTAAACATAAGAAGAGGGCGCACAATAGTTAAATCGCACAATTTTGCGGACGATGTGCGCATGGTATATTGTGTCGCTGTGCAGTCACGGGTTCAAGTATCAAGGGTATAAGTAAATACACCTCACCGCCTCCATTTTTGTAGCAGACATAGGGGAATCTCCAGATATTTCCAAGTCCAACAAGACAGCCGATACACGAGAACAGATATTCGTACCAACTGCTCCAGTTTCCACGAGCATTTTCTCTTTTTTCCTCCGCCATGTTTACCTGTCCAAAATCAAAACCACATGTCAATAATGGATCTTTGTGTCCTCTGCTTGCGAGTAATGGAAGAAACTAAAACTGATATGCTACCTACATATCATGGGATCTCAGTGTTTTCTGGTATCATTTCCCTACACTTGTTTTGTGGCGATATCATTTCATATGAGCGTTTCTCTTCCGAGCAGTTAAACCACGAACAAAACAAATTCAATCCGGACAACGGCGCATCTTATATGCCTTAACAAGTCAAATATGGGTAAAAGAGATATCTAAGTATGGGGTTGTAATGGTGACATTTGATCAATTACGATATTGTATCTCTGTTAACGGGGAAGCTGTTATTACTAACGACATGAAACAACAGTGAAATTTTAGTTGTTTTCGTTCTGATTGTTAGGTAATGAGATGACTTTCATTATGAAAAGGTATTATGGATATCAAGAGATGAATAATATGAAACTTCCGCTAATGTAGGTCGGTGGTGTCAAGAGCCCAGTGCTTAGAGGGAGTATGTAACTATCTGATATACCTTAATCTCTGGTAAACTACGCACGTATATAGTAACCAGATCGCTAGGAATGTCTCCTTCTCTGATATACACCCCGAAATTACCTGGGTAATACTTTCATATAAATGTGTATTTAGCTTCGTCTGCTTTAAGCTTATAATTGCTGACACATTTTACCTGACATGCTTGCTTGTGTTAATAGTCGTCTCCCGTTGATGTTACCAAGTACATTAATGTCCTAAACCAGAGTTTTCACCAGATGCAGTTATGTGAATTTCAGCAAATGGATAACCAGTTATTTCACAACATCCTCACCGATCATAAAAATGCGTTATAATGTTCGCGAAGAGGAAATGAACCAGTATCATACTTAAATACACCCTTTATGTTCAAACAATCTCTTTTATAACTAGAAAACTTTGAAAATGATAACAATGTTAAGTAACAGGCGTAGACCAAGTAAAAACAGTTTCGATTGTTCTATTTCACTAAAATTATTTAAAACTGAAATTTAGCGCAGAACCCAAGCCTAAGCATGAGTATGGATTAATCAGGGCCCATATCCATAAAGAAATTACAACATTCAAACTCGGATTTTTTGCTCAAGATCAATTTCAACTCAAACTGAAAGGCTTTTTTTCGATATTAAATAGGTAATTGCAAACGTTTTGACACTGTCGACAGAAATAGACAAATTACAAAAGAACAATGGTTTTAACGACTACTTAAAAATCAGGACCAAATACAAAGTATCGTAAAACGGAAAATTGAAATTCACAGACAGAAAAACTCAAAATTACTGAAAATCTTTTTGAATGTTCTGAGCAAAACAATAAAAAATAATACACACTTAATATTGCAGCAGTTTTTGCACGCTCAAATAAATCCTAAACATTTAACAATGATACGAATAAAATGTTTTTACCTTTCTCTTTAGACTGTCGTTGTTGTTGCCAGTATTGATTATACCTCCCACACTACACGTCCACACAAACTCTCTGTGAACATCTACCTATATAAGCAGGTATCTATCCAAGTCAGTAACAGTGAGATGTTCAGCGATGTGGAATAGACATGATACCGCACGGACCAGTGGATTATAGTTATAAATACACTATAATTATTTTATTTTCTTTGCGTAGTTAGGTATGTATATAACGTGATCAGAGTCTGATAAAGGCACACTCTGACATCCCTGATTATACCCGTATCTCCTGGGTACATTCGTATAAATATAGCTATATTTACATTCTGTGTTGCATTTGCCTATATGTCGTTAGTAAACCAAATTGCTGTATATGAGACTGTATACTACAATTTACAGTGATTCGATCAGTGTAGGGATACAGCTGGTAGTCGTAAAACATTCTGAGTTCATTAGCATTTAGCAATATAGGCCATCACAAAAAAATAAAGCAACTTGACAATTTATGACAATATAAATTTATTATAAGAGGTGTAGGTACCACACAATTATTGCCAAGTTTGTCGACGTCATCACACAGGGGATCGGTCTCGAGATTTTGAGTTATGCATAACATCAGTGAATAACCACAACGCTAAAATTCAGCATTTCTAAAACCTTATAAAAGTCGAGGGTATCGACAATGTTTTAGAAAGTGTTGTGTTTTTTCAGTGATGTCATCCATTACTCAAATCACGAAACCGAGCCCCTGTGAACGTCGTCTGCTAGCTATTTTAATCTGACCGATTAAACATGGAATCTATTTCAAACGAAATGTCCTTGGAATCGTTATCACCTACTGAAAGGACCACTTTAATTAAACATTTCCGAGTATATATGCTTCTGAAAATAACGTAATATAACAGTCAAAGGAAACATAAGCGTTTCCGAGGAAACAATCAAGTCCGTTCAGCGCCGCATCACTTCAAAATCCATGTAATCTATCAATGCGCGACATTCTATTTGTCTGTCACCCACATTGCATTCCTATCGACTGTATACTGCATCTGGTAACAGTTCAATGCTTAATTATTCTGTGAGCTTGGTGGCATATATAAACAAGCGGAGTTTATATTGAAACGCATACCGACATAATTTATGAATGATTCCATGTCATGAAATAAAAACATATGCAGTGTTTCTTTAATTTGTTAATCGCTAGTTAATCTGGTGTCCGTATAAATTGACGGGATGGAGTGTCATGGTTAACTGCCAGTGTCATGATAACGCGTTCTGACAGCACCTTACCAGCTGTTGGGAGGACACACACAATTATTTACAGACAAACCAAAAACCAATGCGTGCGATATTAATTGACTTGTACGTGTTTTATTTATTTTCGGTCGTCATTTCAAACACCACTTTAATACTCAGTATGGTGTATTAAAACTTTCAGATGTTTGTAAGAAAAGTAAATTACCAGAACGACGGCTTTATACATATATTTCATTGTAAGTATATGGATGGTTTAAATAATTCATCAGTCCAATTCGTGTCGTATTTTTAAATGTTACATTTTCAAATTGATTTCAATACGTTTGGCATTGTACTTGATTGCTAATAACAATGCTTTAGTCGCATGTGTTTCTAATGTTAACAGAATGAAATACCGAATCATTGACTAAACTACCTTACATAGATACGTTGATAAAATAGACTCATCCGTTTAGTGAGCTGCCTGAAAAAGGTGGCGTCATTTGAATAGTTGAGTTTCAAAGCGCATAGCCTAGCCGGAAGAAGTGGAACTAAGGCAGGTGATTCAGTCTTAACCTTAAGGACTTCAATGCACAGTACAATATTGGAATGCAGTACTGTACACGGTAAACCAAAGTACTGTAATCACGTATTCAGTCACATGTCTGGCTTGAATACGAACACTAAACTTACAAGATCTATAAAATAAATTGGTTGCAACAGTGAGATTAGTTTTTATTTGACCTAATGTTGGTCAATATACAACCAGTAGAGCATAACGTCCAATGAGTTTGTAACATACCTCAATTTCAGAAGACTATTTCCGCAAGAAATCTGCAATAACTCTAGCTGGTTGATTTCGCCCATTCTAAAAGCATCGTGCACAGGTGCATGGGGTGGGGCGGGGTGAAGGGACGAGGTGAGGTGTTAGTGGGGACCTGTTGTATCCCACTGCCTGTCGTAAGAGGCGACTAATGTGACCCTTTGACTTTATACATATTCTAAAGAAACGCATGCCAAATGTATTGATGAACCAATATGATTGGTAAGATTTTATTTTGTAGCTTTGTTCAAGGACGTGCCTCAATGTGTGTTGTGTAAGCGTGCATGTGTGTATGTATGCCGGAGACTGGATGTGCTTGTGTTCTTGCCTCCTTGTGATAGGATAGTGCAGATGTTATGCAGACTTTGAAGTGCTATCTCACTGAAATACCATGCCAAAGGAAGTCATAACAGCACTCCGCCCTGTCATCTGATACTGACAACGAGTGAACCATTTGTTGTCAATAGCTTAAATTCTGCATGTTGAGAAAGGAATAACAACTAACATTTTTAAGGACTTAGCCTTGTCCCGGCCTGAGGACAGTACATAACGCCAAGCAAGGCGCTAGGAAACAAATGGTAGTTAGGAATAGTGAGAAATATATAGATACCAAATATTGCAATGGGGGCAGTTATTGACCTTCTTTTTTCGATTAAGGATTTTAAGTCCTAACGAAGCTTTTTGTTTATGATAAAACTTCATTAAACAAAAATGCGAAAAACCCAAATCATAAAGTATTGGTATTATGCGTTGTGTAACTAAAAAATAATAGAGGTAAGATCACTTATGGGTCACACAAAGCTCCCCTGTGACTCCAGAGAGAAGATCTTTACTCGCACAGGTACACACATCTTGCAAGAGTTTCGGTAAATAGTCCCGAATCCAAAGTTAACAATCGATTCGAAGATCCCATCCCTCCATGCTCTTTAGCCGTTTTGCCCTCTGACTCCATACAATCGGAGGATGAATGAACATTGTTTGTTGTGCCCTATGGAATTCTTGCATTTTCCGGTACTAATAGGCTGCTTATGAACTGCCGCACGTATACGTAAATCATTATCATTTTAGCTGATATAACCTTTTTTAACACCAAAGTCAAGCATAAGTTATAGAATCAAATTGCATCCTAGACCTAATATTAATTTCGTATCCGTTTTTGAAATCGTCATTTTTTACAATGATATCAGAGCAAATGACACAGGTCGCAGTACCAAATATTGAGATACACATACAAGGCACTGAATGCAACAGCTCCTTTGTACCAGCCGTCACGATCACTGCGGTTGAAGACAGAAGCGTTGGTGTTTGTCCCAAAATCTCGTACTGTGACCTATGGAAACCGATGCTTTGGGAGGGTTACGGCTACATTGTGGAATAACTTACCATCGGCTATCAGGAAGTCAAAAACCCAGGCCAAATTCAAGAAGGATATAAAGACCCCCCTTTGTACGTCTACATTTTAGGCTCTTTGCACAGACGTCATGTATACATAGTCTTTTATATATTCGTTTATATGCATATTAAGATCATTGTCTTCTCACTTAATGTTTAATGCTATTTGTGTTTATCCATTATGACTAATTCTATTATCCAGGTGTTGCAATTTTACAAATTATATTGGGCGTTATATAAATGCTGTAGATGAATAGGCCACCAGCAGTCAGCTATATCGTGACGTGAAATATTATTAGAAGTTCACTCTAGATATGAATTAGTATTCCTCTTATCTTCAGTACATGTACCATTGATTAGCCCTTTTTGGACAAAGTAGATATATGGTGAACTAAATCTGTTAACTTTAACGTTGTTTGACTTTCTCCATTGGCCTACTGAAACATACTAATAGGTCATTCCTTTTTCATATTTGGAATTTGTTCAAGACATCGGATTTGAAAACGCAAATGAATATATTACCTTCAGTCTTTTGTTGGAAATTATACTACCAATGTGGATGTGGATTTTTTGTAACGTTGAAGGTATATGACCTACTGTTTTTATCCTGTTTGTCGTGTATGTACTGATACTTTTGATGGTATTTTTTTCATTTCATCTACATGAAATATTGAAGATCCTTTCACATCGACGGACAATATATCTACATATGAAAAGATGTATTTGTGTTACTAGGACTGTTTGAAAGCAGGCATTTTGAAATATAGTTTTCAACAGGGCTGACATGATTGTCTTTCTTAATGCAATGATAATCACGAATACATTAATGTATGTTCACGTATATAATTAAAGTATGTTTCTCTGCCCTTGTTTGTTTTGTCAGCTATGCGTGTATAGCATACAGTTAAGGTTATTGTTGAGTTCTATCAGAAGTTAGTTTGAGCATATTTTGAAAGTACAACTTATACCAATATTGCATTTGTAAATTGATTTGTTGAAATGGAACGTATTGTTCTGTCCGTATACACGACAGCGTTATTGAGTCTCCCTAAGTGCGTATATTATATACGCACAATCGCATGTGTACACAGAACGGGAGGCTAGGTAAAGTCATGTATATCAATATTGTCACAGTGAATGGGATCAAATAGAACCCAATATGTCATAATTTAAATAACCCGTTTGGGGCTTTATACCTGATGTATTCTCATAACATATTGGTATGTATCGACAAACACGCTTGGGACGCAATGATGTTTTTTATTAAGATATAAGTGAGGTTACACATATGTGTTAGATAGTGGATACCGGGACAGGACAGAAGTCATTTTAACAAAACCTCACCAAATATCGTTCATATCCTGTGGTTGACTGACATAGTGAACATGTTCGAATTGGATATAAATTTCTACTGGACTACTGTGTGAGGATCAAACTGTATCAAACATGTAAGCTTAACTGTCAAAGCACGGTCATAACTACTATCTGACAAGATTAAAATACGGTCGCGCATTGTAAAAAATCGAAAGCTATAACGTGTATTGCATATGAGTTTTACAGTAGCGGATCAAGGAAGATGTTTGGCCTTTAGGGAATAAAAACAGTTGCCTGCCCATACACATACCCCTCCCGAGCTTTCAGAACACCCTTTCGAGT